AGCTGATCTTTGAAATTTTCTGTTCAGCTCTTGGACCTCTTCAATTTTTCCATTTGCTTTAGCCAGTTTGGATGTCTTTTATTTCCCTGTCTTGCTAAGAATTCCAGCACAAAATTGAATAGGAATGGAAACTTCTGCTCTTTAAAGCTACCCAGTTTGTGGGATTTTGTTATAGCAACCCTAGGAAAACAACATGAAAGACTTGGCAAGAAATGGAACTATTTACTAAAGCAAGAAATTGCAATTTCAGAGAAAAATGCTCAGAGATAAAAGGCTCTCTGGACAGGAAAGGGAACTTGAAATTATCAAAAATAAAGAAAAATTCAGAACCATATGGGCCTTGCCTAGGTCAGATCTTATCAGTCTATGCCAAGTTAGAATGAAACAAACCCAAACCCATTGCCACTGAGTTGATTGAGCCTCATAGCAACCTTCTAAGCTAGAGTAGAACCACCCCACATGGCTGTTCAAGGCTGTCATCTTTATTGAAGCAGACTGCCAAATCTTTCCCCATAAAGCAACTGGTGGGTTTGAACCACCGATCTTTAGGTTGGCAGCTGAACACTTAACCACTGCACCACTGGGGCTCCTTAAATGAAACAATAAAAACCCCACAAGTTCCTATAAGTGGTTGTCTAAAAGACAAAACATGAGTTATACTTAAATAATTCTGATTTTCCCCAGACATGCACGTCTATTAGAGGAAATGTCCTTCAGCTCTGCTACCTCAAGGGGGGCAGATTAGATCTCAACAGAACTTACAAAGTACTCACTCCTAAAATGTGAATACTTTGATTTTTTTTTAATGTCCTGGGTGTACACAACAACATATATGAGGCTGGTTAAAGAGCATTTTGTGAAACAGGCCCTTACGTTCCCTTCAGGACAGCATCTCAGGAATCCTAATTTTAAAAGAGAGGCAGCATATGCTAACTCCGCGAAACAGCTCTGAGGAAGAAACTGGGGATATTTCTTTAGCTTTTATCAATAAGCGAGATTTATGGCTTGAGTATCTGAACCCAGAAAGTGCTCACAAACCTTTACTAGAAAGGAGGTCAACAAGGTACCCCAAATGGTCTCAAGATGTCTATGCCCCAAAGAGGGGCTAAGAAAACAGATGTTTGTAAAGAAAAACTTGAAAATTCAGGAACTTCAAGTGGTATTTTACTCTCATGCTGAAAGATGAAAAGAATTAGAATACTGCCCTAGGATAATCAAGATTCAACTCCTAGATTAGTCTATAATATCAACCCAAACCAAACTAGCTGCCATCAAGTTGGCTCTGACTCATGGCAGCCCCATGTATGTCAGAGTGTGCTTCATTGGGTTTTCATGCTGTGATCTTTCAGAAGCAGATCACCAAACTTGTCAAGTAGTATTTGAGTATTTAACCATTTGCACCGAAGAGTGACTCCTAAATCAGTCTCAAAAACCAAACCCAACCCACTGTCACTGAGGCTATTCTGATTCAGAGAGACTACCTTATATAGGTTTTCCATGGCTGTAAATCTCTTTCTCTCACAGAGCAGCTGGTGGGTTTAAACTGCTGACCTTGTAGTTAGCAGTCCAGTCCCTTTTTATGTTGTTGTTGTTATGTGCCGTGGAGTCAGTTCTGACTCATAGCAACCCTGTACAGGGTTTCCAAGGCTCTAAATCTTTACAGGAGCAGAAAGCCTCATCTTTCTCCCGTGGAACAGCTGGTAGTTTCGAACTGCTAACCCTGAGGTTAGAAGCCCGATTTGTAACCACTACTATACCAGAGTTCCTTTCTATAGCAACCCTTTATTTATTAATTCAACAAATGTTTGTTATTAGCTAGGCCTGTAAACTCTGGGGATGCAATGTAGAGTTAGCGGAGATGGTCTTTGCTCTCTTGAGACTTAAGAGTCTAGTGGAGAACACAGACGACGGGATGAGTTGATGGATATATAAAATAATTACACATTGTGGTAACTGCTCTGAAGAAAACACCAAATCCTCTGCCATCCAGTCAATTCTAACTCATAGTGACCCAGCAGAACTACTTCATAGGAGTTCCAAGACTACAGATCTTGAAAAAGTGGTCCAAGTGTTGTTAAAAGTGACTTATAAGGCAATAGATTGTATGTGTGTGGGGTGTGTTTTAGCCTGACCATCAGGAGAGAAGCATATTATACACAGTGCTTACTAAACTCTTTTTATCAAATGTGTTGGATAGGTTTTAAACACCGGTTCTGAGTTCTGAATGCACATCGGAATGTTTCCTCTGTTTAGTACCTGTAGATGGTGCAGCTGGCGTAGCTGGGTTAACAGTCCCCAGGTTTGTCCATCTAGAGGCAAGTCCAGCTCTTGCCACAGCCCGCTGATAGTTATCGAAAAGAGTCTTCCCATACTAGGGAGGCAAATGAGAAACGAGAAAGTAATCCATTTATCCTGAACGCCGTCAGTCAATTGCAATATACACAGTAAGGGGAAATAATACTCCATGACTATTCATTTCACTCCTTGCTGAGTTTTCAGTTGTTAATATAATCTCTCTTGCCAAAAAGAATCACAAATTATGTGTTCATGATTACTAGTTGAATAATTTTTCAGATTTATCTCAATCAATTAATACTTTTTTATATACATAGGTGAGGTTTAGCCACACAAGTTTCATTACTTATATCTCTAGATTTTGTTAGTAAACACTCTTTCAATTAAAAAAAAATCACCAATAGTTTATTCATTATTGTTTATTAAAAGTTTTTTTCAGATTTATCTGTCAGTTAATACTTCTATCTATAAGTGAAAGAAGAGCATTAGCCATGCAGTTCCCATGACCTATGTCTCTAGGTAACTTTCCTGTGTTTCTTAACTGCACATGAAATTTGCAAACTCTCCAGGAGTTCTGCACTTAAGATAATGCTCTGTGAGTTATCTGATAAGCCTCAGGTGACCATAAACCCTTGGATCTCAGGCTATTGGAGAGGTTCACATTTTATGACACTCAACTATTTGAAAAACCCAATGGACAAACAAGCAATATATATGGGTGCCACCAAGAGAAGCTCAGCTGTCTCGCGGGGGCACAAACGCAGGGCATAAGGCAAACTCAAGGTAGGGTGAAGTTCAAATGCTTTCTCACCTTTGCAATCCTGATCCCTGTGACCCACTGGTTCAGAGTCCTTGCGTCATCACAGCAGAGATACTTGATATATTGGGACTCCTTCTGAATTTGGGGGTGCTAGAAAGAAGTCATATTAAAAACAACTGATAAATTCTTCATTTCTAAGGAGCACAAGATTAAAAACATTTTATCACTAGGTGTGCTCTACAGAGATGGTGGAAAAATTATTAACAATATGCTTAGTATTAAAATAAAAACAAAACCTTCAACCAAACAAATAAGAAAGCCCTTCAAGTATATTCCAACTCATAGCAACCCTACAGGACTAGAACTGCCCATAAAGTTGCCAGGCTGTAATCTTTATGGATGCAGATGGTAGTGGTGGCTGTGTGCTGTTGAGTTGGTTCTGACACATAGCGACCCTGTACAGGATTTCCAAGGCTGTAAATCTTTACAGGAGCAGAATGTCTAATCCTTCTCCCGCGGAACAGCTGTTGGGTTTGCAGCCAAGCACTTATGTGTCACCAGAATTTTTTAGTACTAAAAGGGTATCTTTTTAATGACTAGATTTTGAGAGGATTTAAGAAATCTGTTACATGATTTATCAGAAGTACTTCTGGTTATATTATCAATAATAATGTTCATTTCTGCCTCTTAATTTTATAAAGCCTTCACATCATGTCTCTATCTTCAAAACAAATTAGAGTTGTGTCCCTGTCTGTCAAATAATTAAAAGAAAAATTACTCCAATTTATGATGACCTATGTATACCAGAGTAGAGATGTGCTCTAGGGTCTTCAGTGACTGATATTACAGAAGTAAGTTACTAAGTCAGGCATTTCTTCTGAGATATTCTCTGGATAGACTTAAATCTCCAACCAACTGCGTTAACAATATGTTCCACCCAGAGACTCCCTGGCATAATTCTTGTCATAGAATTAGTGCCTATAAGAATTGTGGTTTTGTGGAGTATATAGGGGGCAAAGTTATAAAAATTTCTAAGACATAACCAAATACCTTGAGGGGATGAATTGCTGAACCTGAGGGTTCAGGACCATGGTTTGGGGGAAGACCAAAGTCAACTGGCATAACATAGTCCACAAAGACATTGCTCTACATCCTACTCTGGTGAGCAGTGACTAGGATCTGAAAAGCTTGTGAAGGGTCAACTATTGGCCTCTCTCTGTCTGGAGAAAAGAATAAAGAAAATAGAAAATGCATGAAAACAATTCATCCAGTGGACTAAATAGACCACATGAACATCAGTCTCTAAGCGCCTGAGACCAGAAGAATTAGATAGTGCCTGGCTATCGCACTAACTGTTCTGAAAGGGATCACATTAGAAGATCCTGGATAGAGTGGAAGAAAATGTAGAATGAAACTCAAAATCATAAAAAAGGCCAGGTTTCATAGTCAGATAGAGCCTGGTGGAACGCCCAAGATGATAGCCCTTAATCATCTCACACAGCAAAGATTTGAGGATGGCCCAGGACCAGGCAGTGTTTTGCTGTATTGTACACAAGATCGTTGTAAGTCAAAACCAACTTGACTGCATCTAACAACAATCATTAAAATGGGGACTTTTGGCTTAATAATGAGGCATAAAGGAATTTTATGCGGCAGGTCAAGAGACACTAAGGTTCTAGTGATCATGGAGTTACTATATCGTAATGCTTTTGAACCTCACTTAGTTTTCATTTGTAAGATGAGTTCAACAAGTTCCTCCTGGGTAAAAGAAAAATATCACTGGCTCTTACAAGCAGGGTAATTAGTCCAGACACTACTTGTACCTCTTCCTTCAGCACTATCAGTTCTGGCTTATGCTTGTATGCTGCCTCCTGAAGCAATAAATGTCAACCATTTCTTTTTGGTCCAGTTATTCTGTGTAGTCTTTCCATCTTCTTCTTGTATTTTTTTAAGTTTTTATTGTGAATTGAGTGTGATTAGTTTACAAGGGGAACATCAGTTTTACACTCATTGTTTCATTGCAGTGATTATAATCTCCTCTGTGCATCACCATTCAACAGTATTTGCTTCTATTCCCTCTTTTTTTGAGGGGGAGGTGGCGCACACAAAACCACTCAGGAATATATAATCATTTAAACAACCAAAAGACAACATTCTGCAAGCCTGCCTCCTGGTCACCAGCATCTGCCTGCCAGCACACAGACTTTCTCTTTCCATGAGTCTAGAGTCCTCAGCTGCTCCCCCTCTCCATGTCCTCATCTCTGGTATTGCTGCTTTTCTGGATTTGTTGCTGTTGTTATGTGCTTTGGAGTCAGTTCCGACTCATAGTGACTCTAAACAGGGTTTCCGAGGCTGTAAATCTTTATGGGAGTAGACTGCTTCATCTTTCTCTCACAGAACCGCTAGTAGTTTCGAACTGCTGACCTTGAGGTTCGCAGCCTGATTCGTTAACCACTACGATTCCGCTCGTGCTCCTCTCCCTCACCTTCTGTCTTCTTCATCATGCTTTCTGCATCACTCAATATTTTGCCCGTAGAATCCTTCAATATTGCAACTTGGAGCTTTATTGTTTTTTTTCCAGTTTTTGAAAATGCCAGCCTGTTCTTCCCCTTTCATTTTGTAACACTAGACACCTTTTGAAATCTTCTGTTGTTATTATTGTTAGGTGCCATTGAGTTGGTACCAACTCATAGTGACCCAATGCACAATAGAACAAAACACTGCTCGGTCCGGGGCCAACCTTACAATCATTGCTATGTCTAAACCCAATGCTGCTACTATTGTGCCAATCTATCTCACTGGGGTTGGGGGGGGGGTTCTCCCTTTTTATTTCCAACCCTCCACTTTACCAAATATGATAAACAGTGACTGATCCCTTCTAATAATATATCCAAAGTATGAGAGATGAAGTTTGGCCATCCTGGCATTCAAGGAGCACTCTGGCTGCGCTTCCAACACATACTGGTTTTTTCTTTTGGCAGTCTGTGGTATTTTTAATATTCTCTTCCAACATCATAACTGGAATGCATCAATTCTTCCACAGTCTTCCTTATTCACTGTCCAACTTTCGCATGCATATGAGGTTATTGAAAAAACCATGGCTTGGTTCATGTGCATCTTACTCCTCAAACTGATATCTTTGCTCTTCAACACTTTGAAGAGGTCTTGTGCAGCAGATTTGCCTAATGCACTACATCATTTGATTTCTTGAATGCTGCTTCCCTGAGTTTTGATGATTGACAACTTCAATGGTTTCTCCATTTATATGGACGTTGTTTATTTGCCCAGTGGTGAGTATTTTTGTTTGCTTTACATTGAGATGCAACATATACTGAAGGCTGTAAGTACAGTGACTCTATGTATTCCTTCTATCTTCTTTTGATGCTTTCTGCATCATTCAGTAATTTGCCCAGAGAATCTTTCAATACTGCAAATTGAAGCTTGAATTTTTCTCCAGTTCCCTCAGCTTGAGAAATGCCCTTTAGTTTTCTAACGCCAAGTCTTTGCACATTTTGTTATAACATTAGATTTTGTCTTCTCGAGCTGACCTTTGAAATGTTCTGTTCAGTTCTAGTAACCTCCTCACTTCTTTCATTTGCTTTAGCATCTTTACATTGGAGAGCAAGTTTCAAAGTCTCTTCTGACATCCATTTTGGTCTTTTCTTTCTTTCTTGTCTTCTTAAGGATCTTTAGCTTTCTTCCTGTATGATGTTCTTGATGTCATCTCACAACTCTCCTGGTCTTCAGTCTTTGGTGTCTAATGCATCAAATCTGTTCTTCAGATGATTGCTAAATTCAGATGGGATATATTCAAGGTCATATTTTGGCTCTTGTGGACTTGTTTTCATTTTAATTTGTTTCATTTCATTTAGCTTCAGCCTGAATTTGCGTATGATCAATTGATAGTCTGCTGCACAGTCTGCTCCTGGCCTTGTTTTGGCTGATGATATGGAGCTTTTTCACTGTCTCTTTCTGCAGATGTAGTCAATTTGATTTCTGTGTATTCCATCTGGTAGCATCCATGTGGATAGCCATCTTTTAAGTTGTTTATAAAGGGTATTTTCAATGCAAAAGCCACTGGTCTTGCAAAATTCTATACTGAAATTTCCAGCATCGTTTCTACCACCAAGGCCATATTTTCCAATGACGGATCCTTCTTCTTTGTTGTCAACCTTTGCATTTCAATTGCCAGTAATTATAAATACATTTTGATTGCATGTTTGATCAATTTCAGATTATAGAAGTTGGTAGAATTCTTCATTTTCATCATCACTGTGCATAAATCTTCTGCTAAGTTCTACTAAGTCAATTTCTTTATGGTGTGCTGCCGTGGGATAAAGCACTGGACCTCAAGGTGTTGTTCTTGTTAAGTGCCGTCAAGTCGGTTCCAACCCATAGTGACCCTGTATAGGGTTTCCAAAGAGCGATTGGTGAGCTTGAACTGCCGACCTTGCAGTTCAAACAACTTTGCAGACTGGTGCATTAACCTACAGTGCCACACCAGGACCGCAAGGTAGGAGGTTCAAATTCACCAACTACTCCTTGGAAACCCTATACAGGGTCACTATGAGTCGGAATTGACTCAACGGCACAACTATATTTTACATACAGTGGGGACTGGTGAGGCACTGTAGGATAAGCACTGGACAGCTAACTGCAAGGCAGGCAGTTCAAATCCAACAGCTGCTTTATGGGAAAAAGATGAGGTTTTCTGCCTTTGTAAAAATGTATAGCCTTGGAAACCATATAGAGTATGTATATTTCCACATTGATTCAATGGCAATAAATGAGTGAGTGATTCTACATTCTAGAGCAAGCTTCAGAGTTTCTCGTGACATCCATTTTGGTCTTGTCTTTCTTTCCTGACTTTTAAATGACCCCTTTCTTTCTTTATGTATGATGTCATCCCACAACCCACTTGGTCTTCAGTCATCAAATCTATTATGGTCTCTAAGACATTCAGGTGGGATATACTCAAGGTCATATTTTGGCTCTCATGAACTTGTTTTAATTTTATTTAGTTTCAATTTGAACTTGTTGTTGTTGTTAGGTGCCATCAAGTTGGTACCTACTTACAGTGACCCTATGCACAACAGAATTTTCATTCTGGGCCAATCTCACAACTGTTGCCATGCTTGGGCCCATTGATG